TCTCCTTGAATGAGGCAAGGTTGAGCAGAAGCACAGGTTATAATATTGATACCAATCCATTCTAGAAGCAATGTTTAGAGAAGCATAGTTTAAGAAAAGCTCTTGAAGTTTGGATGCTAAGAAGAAAAGTACTAATATTTTGATTAGTTAATGAAAAAACAAAGCTAATCTCTTTATTTATACCTAAATAAGCTCAATAGACAGACATAGAATGGAACTAGAAAAAAGGCACAAAGTGCCAGTTACCAAGTCACAATGCACATTCAAGACAGTAGCAGGATAGCACAATGAAGAATCTCTTAAGAAACTTTATTTTATTGTGTATCTCYATCCTGTGTCTATTTTACTCATCTGTCCTTTGGCATCGTTCTTGGCCAAACCACAATCGATGAAACACAAGTACCTGCACACAGGACCAGGAGAACTGCCTGGCTCCACCTCCAAGGCTGTCCAGAGTGCAGAACCTCTCCAGAACAGAGGTGCTTCAGCCCTCGCTTTGAAGATTCATGGAGCTATCCCTGCCTCTCAGTCTGGGTGGAGTAAATTGTGCTCTGTCTTAGGTGATTTATCTCCATGCTGCCATGTGGATGCGATCACAGGCTGCGAAGCTCATGTGTGATGACACTGGCAAGATCATTTACATGGGATGTCTGAGATAATAAATGGTTTTATCTCACATTGTTAGAATGATTACCTAGACAACAAAAATCTTTTACAAAGGACCAAACTGCAGCAATACATGCAATTTCATTTTGGGGAAGAAAAAAGTAATAATACAGAAAAAAGTATTAAGGGCATTCAACAATGCCTCTAACGGTAGTTAAATTTGACCTTCAGCTACCCTGTGGGAAATCCCTGTGCAAATGCTTTTTAAAAAGTCTCATTTCAACAAACACAATTTGCAGGACTCCTCCATACATTCACAGTTTAAGTCCAAAAAAGTGGCTTTGTGGCACCTGCATAGTGAATGGACAAAATTAAAGTCCTTTAAGGAATATAAAGATTCTTCTCTACCTCACTAGAGTTTGGTCAACCTATGCTGCCCAGGACCACTTTCTGCTACTGAGGCCAACTGGCCCAGATCTGAATATCACCACTAAACTGTATTGCTTTCCAGCAAGAAGTGCACACAGAGTATGTACTGAGAAAGCTCCCATCAAAAATTCCTCAACTCTGGAAACCACTTAGCTAGCCGGTACAGCTCCAAATCACTCTAGCCTCTAGTTTCAATGTTTCATTTTCTCATAGAGATAGCCAGAAGAACCAAAGGAACATTCAGATTAAACACCGAGATCAAAAGAATAAAGCTATATCTTCATGCCCAACACTGGATTGCAGAGTAGAGTGATTGGGTTTTTTTACCAACAAAAGTTCCTAAATTAATACATAAAGGATATTTTTCCCACTTCAAGTATCTGAGGAAGGACTACCTAGCTCACTGAATAATTTATAAATGAAGTTATTTGTGACAGAATGAACATGATCCAACTGTTCTTGCATTTATTTGTAACTCAGAAATTTACTCATAAATGTTATTTATTMCACAGATAATTTCAGTTCTGATTAACTAGAGCATCCTTGTTCAAGAGAGCACTTGAGCATGTCCTCACGTCCTATTGAAGTCAATTATTAGGTTAGTTGAGGGAAATAGTTATAGAGAGAGATCTGGGAGAAACAGTGGACATCAAAGGAGAGGAAGAATGGAGAAACAGAAATGGTACTTAGGACAGAGCCTAACTTAAAAAAAAAAAAAAAAAAAAAAAAAAGGAAAACAGATTAAACTACGTGGCTTTTGAATACTACACAAGTGAAGTGAAAAATATCTCCGGTACTTCTCATTTTTTTTCCATGACTCTTGCAAAACACTTCATTCTTTATACAAGTTTCCCTGAAACAAACATATTCCTTTTAACAAACATATTAATTCCATAACACAAAGCTACTTTTAGTCTGAACTGACTACCTGCAAGCTCAGCTGTAATTCAAGACAGCAAAGTAATATGTATCAATTAAAGAGGGAAAAAGAAGGAATAAACAGTTACAGGGCAATACAAGACCAATGCRTTTGTAAGGGCACAACCAACAATCCTTGGGAAAATGCATGAGAAGGAATTAAACACATAATTAGAGTAATGATTTGGTTGATTTGCTCAATTTAGCACACCGTGCTCCTTTGATAACAGAAATACTCACACTACATAACATAATTTATTCAACAAATTTGTCTTTCACATGTACAAGGTAAGAGCAATCAAGCTGTATAAAACAAGTCCACTTCACTTGAGGGAGCACTGAGGCTCAATCCCTCGGCTCCTGCTTGGAGTATTGTAGCCTCTCCCTGGCACATATCACTGCTGCTTAGCTAATTGTACTGTGAGATCACAGCATGGACCAGGGCAGACACCAGATACCTAAGCTAAGGATGTAACTGGGAATATAGTGTGAGTTTTCAGACAGACTAATCTAAGCCTGCAATCAAGACTTTCATTCCAATATATCCTTGACAGAGGAAAGAAAAAAATAATACACACACAGACACAAAAAAAAAAAGCTTTGCATTACCATTCAAATAATGCTAAGATTATCTGAAAACATGATTGCTTCCTTCCATCCGTTGCCCCTACCTACTGTCTTAATAAACCCGTCCTTCTTTCCTCTTCCTTTTCCCTCCAAAAATGGCCTTTCCAACAGAATCAGGGTGCAATTACATCTTTTGGGGTTTAGGTCTCAACCCTGCTATAAGTTTCCTGTTGTATTTCCCTGTGGACCATTACAGTGAGGAAATTCTGGATCTTAAAGTAGGGATGGAAAGCACYACTTGTTCCCAGGCCAAGACTGGCTCATCATTGTTGGTTTAAGCAGAGAGCTAGATGCCTCTTCTTGGGGTCTCAGAAAGGGATTTAAAAGAGTTGGACACTACAGAGAGACTAACCTGAGGAGGCTCAAAGCAAAATAGTGAGAAGAGCACATATGCTGAAAATCGTTCCTCAGCTTTCCTTTCTATTTCACTAAGGGTTACAGTGGGGCATCTGTTATTTGTTACCTCTAGACCAAAATCTTTTGGAGATTTGCCAATAAGTCACTCTTCCACTGGGTGGGTTTCACATTTACAGCACAGCTTCTACATTTTTGTCACAAATTCATCAGTTTTCCTCACCTACTAAGAGGGTTTATAGACAGCTCTTTTACATTGTCCCAAGATAGCACTTCACTAACTACAAAAAGTACTGAGTATTTAAAAGACAAACACAAAACATGAGCAAGTTTTGCTGTATTTTGCTATATTTTGACTTGCTCATATATGACTTGGATAGACGATCCATTAAATTTTTGTTCTCTCCAAGCCTTTTCAGCAGTCAAGCACATGCATTTGCACACATCTCAAAATCTGCAACACCAGCCTCTTCCCTCCCCCTCAACACTTGTGATTGCAAGCTGATGGCCACTTACACTCATGTGATTTTATTTGTTCGTGGTCCTGAGAAGTCTAATTGCTCATATTTTAGAATGCAGTTCATTGACAACATGAAAATGATAAGAAAAAACACATTTTAGAAGAGCTGATTGAAAAAGCTGACAGATAGTGATCTACTCTCCCAAGTTTGATATCAGCGAAATCAAACAATAGCTAAATATATTCAAAAGCATTGAGATTGACATCTTAATTAATCTGGTTAGGCGGTTTGAAATGATCAAGCAAGCAGTCACAACTCCCTGAAATAGCTTATAATAGACCAGATAAAAGGACAACTTTTAGTAAACTGAGAGCTAATAATGAAAGAGTAAAGGATCTGTCTAGGGTGCAATCAATTAATTTTACTGCAGAAAACACTGGATAAAGTCTAGCRAACTTTTTTCCCTTCCTCAGGGAATAAACAAAATTCATAATGAGCACTATGAACTTAGATTTACAATTAACTAGTAAAAGTTGGCCTTAAAAAAAAAATCTGCATCCCTATGCTTTCAATCTAAGGATTTCTGCCAAGATATACAAAATCTTCTGTTGCATGGCCTCACAGCAACTCACTTAAATTAAAAAGAAATGGCAAATTCACAGAGGAACCCAACTGCTCTTGCAAGTTTGCAACTGAGAGTATCTTCTGCATGTCTGCAGTTAATTACAACACCACAGCAGAAAACCTAGCATTTCCCTCCTCTTCCCCTTCACCAAATGCTTCCATTCAGAGCTAGATGGAGTCAAAAGCAGCTGATGGTTGAATCTACCAGCTTTCAGACACTGCAGGAAGAGGTACCACATCGAAGCCTAAAATGTTCATAGGATCCCAAGCTCTCAAATCACAGCTTGAGAAACTTGCAGTGAGAGAAGCAGAGCAGTACAAATAGTTTCCTTGCAGTAACTACATTCCTGAGCAGTTACACTCTTTTTTCTTAAATTTAGGGATAAAGTTTACCATGCTTGCTCTTCAAAGGCAGTATTTATTAATTTTATAACCTGAAGTCAAACATACTGAAAAGGGCTTCAGAGCTAACTCTATCACCAGTGACTCTTAGGCAGTAAAGCTTCTTATAAAGGCTGGCAGCCAAATGGAGGACATGGAAGCAGACCACATAACATCTCCCACATGCCAGCCAGGAAAGCTGGCTTGCGTCCTGCTTCTGCACCCTCAAGTAATACTATCTTTTCAACCCACAGCTTTCAACATATTAAGTAGAGCTTCCAARGCACTGCTGTGCTTTATAGCCCACAGCGAGTCACTGAATCAAGTAATAAAGTTTTGATGCTCTATTCAGAGGAGCTCAACTTTTAGAAAAATTACAAGCTCAACAACTTCCAATCCAAACTGTATGACAAATGCAATTGGTTTCCATTAAGAGAAAAAAAAAACTTATTAAGGGGGTTAAAAATAAAAATGAATCAAAGTCCACTGCATAGTGAAAAAGAGGCTGTTGCACTGCAGGATTGAAAGCGATTCATATAGGCCCAAACTCTTTAAAATAATCAGTTGGGTTTATTCTGACTTGCTACCTCCACCTTGAGGAAGTCTCACTTTGAGGAACTTGAGCAGGATTCTCTGGAGTCCTTTAATGGTCAAGTCCTCTAACCATCAACCTAGTAAAGAAAAGAGCATAAGCACCTCATTCTGTAATTATTTAAAAAAAAAAAAAAAAAAAAAAAAAAAAAAAAAAAAAAAAAGAAGAAATGAAAGGAAAAAAAGAAAAAGTATATACAACACCATGGATGTGGTTCTGCCATGCTCTTAGTACTGCACATAACATTTCAAAATGAGTACCTCTCTATTCAGCTTCTTGACATCTGAAAAAGAAAATATATTTTTAACAATTTTCTGAGGTTAAAAGTGAATTTTCTCGATTCAGCAGGCAAAAATCTCCATAGACTAAGCAGAAAAAGTCACATCAAAAACATAGTCAATACTGAAATAAATACCATCAAATAGGCTTGTAAACAATTTCCCATTGCTTTACCATCCTGTTCCAACAGTTTCATGTCTTCCAGTTCACTAGTGAGACACTTTCACAACATCCCTYGGGTCAACAATCACTTCCAGTTCCAGAGTCTTTTACCAGCATTAAGGTCAGGCCAGCAATATAGAAAATTCTTCTACTCTTTGTACAGCCTACCATTTTCCAAGAAAATGAGTCTTCAAATCTTTCATGCAACTATGCTATATAGTTCCCTCAAATCTTGCTCACTTTAAGATTTCAGCTTTTGTCTTCCAGGGATCCTCACCTAAGAACACCAAGATGTGACCAGTTTCATATGACGGTCACATGCATTGGGGCTACCCTTCACTTTGTGTCTTGTTCTTCTCCTCCAACCTAACTCAGCTCTGCTGTCTCTCAAGGAGAAGTCATGTAACTGCCTGATTGTCTGTGCCTATAGAGTCCTATTCAGCCTGAAGAGAAGATTGAAGGGGGCATCTGATAAGTGTCTATAAATACCTCAAGGGAGGGAGTGAGGACGATGCTGGCCTCTCTGCAGTGGTGACCACTGACAGAACTAGAGGAAATGGCCACAAACTGAAGCCCCAAAAGTTCCACAGGAACTTAAGGAAAAAGTTCTTGACAGTGAGGGTAACAGAGYCCTGGCACAGGCTGCCCAGAGAGGTTGTGGAGTCTCCTTCTCTGGAGATCTTCAGACCTGCCTGGATGCAGCCCTGTGCAACGTGCTCTAGGTGACCCTGTGTGTGCAGGGAAGTTGGACTGGATGACCTCTGGAGGTCCCTTAACCTTAAGGATTCTACGATACAGCCTGACATGACACTTGGTAGTATAAACTACTAAAAGCAATTGGGTCATGTCCAACCTATTCCCAGGTCTATCTTTGTTTACATCCCCAAATGCCATCTGGCTGGGCTTCCTCCTGGTTTCTTGGACAACTTAACACTGATTATCTCAGACCATCTGACAGGCTGTTCTTGTTTTACCTTTCACACTTTACTGATAATTGTTTGTTGAGTGGATACACAGCAACACACAGTATCTGAGGAGACCGGGACTTTTCACTCAAATAATGGCATCCTTGCTTGCCTCTTCTTCAAAGCTATTCCTACAACGCACCCCAGAAACTCGAACCCTGCAGAACAGAAAAGGGAAAAGGGCAGTGAAGAACTGCAGGCAGAGAAATGTAACTGATTTCCCCAGTCAAGTGTTAGATGGTTATTCTCTTATGAGAAATACTAAGTGCTATATATAAACAGAACATTTTAACAGGAATTGACAGTGCCATTCCCAGCTCAATCCCAGATTTTTTCTGAGGCCTGCAGTCAGACCACTAGCAAAGCAAACCCAGGCTCAATTTGCTGCTTCAAATCAGACAGAAGATAAATCTAGAACAGAAGTCTCACTCTTAACTACCAAGTGCGGATCCTGGTGCTTCACTAGTCACACTAAAGCCCTTTGCATGAAGATATTCACAGCTATGAATAATGACTGTAGGAGGTGTTTTGCACTAGTCCAGAATGAAGTTCCTAATTGCTTTCAACCTACAGACTGAATTCCTCCCATACCAACATGTACCATGTATAAAGCCTTACCCCAGCATCCACTCAAGTCAGTGGGAATCTTCCTTGGATGCTAAAGCAAGCAGTCCAATAGCATAATTTCCTGCAATACAAGCAATAAAGGCAACATTTCTGGGATGAAAATAGGTACAGAGTACAATAAAACATACAATGTATGGTGCATCATGGCATACACAATTTTAGGGCAGTAGCACGTATGAGCACATATAAGCATCAAGCTTAAAAGTTACCCCTACAGAAGCCAGGAGGAAGGGATATAGAATTTCCCAAATTTATGAACTAGTTAAAGTTGTCAAACACAGAAAGTTTGTTGATGGCAGTATCTGTGACGGATGCAGTCGATAACTAGACCAATGCAGTGTAACTAGTACATTTTGCAGCACCACAGGTCATTCTCACAGCTCTCCTCTCAGCCAGAAAAAAAGATTTTATATTCCTGACCACAGTTAGCAAAAGAAATGAGGGTGCACAATTCCCTGTCCTGAACAGGTCGCTGCACACATCAGAATGATCTCTCCAAATCTCTCTCTCTACACACATAAATTGCTGGGTATTTGCAATCTTCATTCAAATGTAGTTACTGGAAGCATATGGCTGCCTTTAAAAGCAAATGAAGATTTATCAGGCCCAAATCCAGAATATCACAAAAAGCATTTAGTCTGTCTACTGAACTAGAGCAGCAGACACAACTGGCCTCTAGGCAGGTAAGGAAAATAGAAATAATGTTATATCATAGGAAGGAAGAGAATGAAGTGGGCACCACTAGCATGTATATTATTTGTTTTTGCTCCTGGCAGAGAGGCAAAGTAATTTGTTTAGCTTTTAGCTGATTAATGTAGTGATCAGTATCTTGACAATAATACATCAGTAGACTGGTATGCCATTTTAATAAATTATACAAGACATTTTCATCATATTGCTGCTGAAACCCATCCCTTTCTTTATCTGTTCAAGTGCAGCATTAGGTTGATTGAATCACTAAGCTAGCATTAACATTCTAAAATAAATGTGCTAATATAAACTGCAGGAGGATGCACATCAAAGTTTGCTACAGCTCTTCCTTTTCCCTGATTCAGGCCACAATTAGAAAGACAAAGTGCTTAAGAACTCTCACAATTGTATTTTATTTGACATCAGCAATATACACTGGAGTATAATAGGAACAATTTTTGCACAATCTTTCTTGCAAGATGGATTTTCCAAATACACAGATGTTCATAATACAGGAAGGTAGTAACAGTTAAGCTGCACAATAGCAAAACAACTTGACAGCTACCAAACCACCTTTTATATTTTTTAGTTCAATCAGGTGACCAGCATTGAACAGATGTGTTCAGATAATTTAGTTAACCCCTGATTCTTCCGATCTTCCAGCCATATTTTTTGTTATTTCATTCCAATAAAAAATGTGCATGAAGAATCATGTAAAGGAATTCAACTCTGAGGCTTCCCTTGCTTTGACTTCCTTCCAGTTTTTCCTCATGCATGAGTCAATACAACGGGATATACGTCAGAATTTGGCATGGCACAGAGACTCTTGCAACATGCATCTAGGACAGTCACATATTGCAGAATTAGTACATTTTTGAAAGAGAAGTTAGGGGATTTAGGTCTTTCTAGAAAGACTATTAACAAAGCATTTCTACTAGGCTGTATTAGGGCATATTTTCTGCATGCCACAGCTTTTACAGAAAACAGATACAACTACTTCAAAATGCTTCATTTTTTTTCCACTGGGAATATTTCTTACAACAGTCTAAGCTTAAATCTAAATGCTTTGGTTGCAATGGACGGGGCTTCACAAGAAAAAAAAAAAGCTCACAGCTCATTAAAATATCAGTAAATATTAGCTTTTTCTTGCTTTTTTTTTCCCCACTTAAAAATGCCACACAGCTCTAAACAGCTACTGTACATCAAGTAGGAATTCATCTTCCCTTTTGTTCCTTGTGTGGTACAGCCATTACACTTTGAATTAGCCACTGGCACAGAAACAAATATCTTTCTCCCATTCTCAAAGCAGAGAAGCAGACTGAGATTGGAGGCTCCATATTATTTGTTAGGTGAGACGTCCATGGAAGCGTCTCAACAGTCTGTAATATTAGAACTAGCAGGAAAAGCAGTCACTGGTAGAGCAAAAGGCAAGAGCATAAAGGTGGGAGCAATATAGGAACTATATGACAAATGTGGGCAATTATTATATAGATTTTACTTATTGTGAGCAAACAAATATGTATTTTCAGCCAAGCTTTTAATATGTTTTTGCAATTCCATGTATTTGTTAGTGATGCAACATTTTTCAGGTGTTTCAGGTGAAACAGTCCTTGCCCAGTAGCATACAGCACATGTGGAGCAGTGGCACCAGTATAAATCTACCACCTCACTGCTTTATTTTTTCAGGTAAGTGCCCAGGAGAGTGGCTACAGATACTGCCACAGTGAAAACCTTAGGGTGCTAGAGAAGTATCTGAGCTCCTGATCAGTATTGCACAGTTTCACAGCAGGGAGAGGGAGAATGGCTCATCGATTTGATAAAATTAAAACTGGATAATCCAGCAGATAGAAGACCAAAGGGAGCCAGAAAATCCTGTGTCCGTATTTCAACTGACTTCTATTTCAAACATCCAAATGCTKTATGTTCCTGCCTTTGTTGAAAACTAGATCTTTAAATGCACCCAGGTAAGGGCAAGGCCATCACTCTCGTGACAGCTGGAAGACCCTGCGCCCACCTGCACCCCAGTTTATTCCATGCCAGGCTCTGCTTGGGAGATGCAGCCCCCGCAGCCAAGGTCTGGAGGGATCCTCCATCCACAGCACCCATGGTGCAGCAGCATCCCTAGTAGCACCATGAGGGACAGGCCAGGTGGCACCAGAAGGATGCAGAAGTAGCCGCCTGTGCTGGAGCTTCATTTTGAAGACAGAACATTTGGGTTTTTGAGCAGCTAACGAGCAGCTCTTCAGCCTAATTCAACTCATGTCCTACCTCAGCAAAACACTGAATAGTCCAAGGCTCAGCTGTTCTCTTCTAGAGCTGGGATACCTTCCCCTGCTGTCCTTTACCAGGACTAAATTTAGATGCATTTGACCACATTCCTAACTCAGCAAGGCAGGGAAACCTGGGGCACTGACTGCGCGCGCTCCCGTCTGGGCTGAGGAGCTGAAGGTACAAATTCAAAGCCTTGGTTGCGAATACCTTGCCCCCTGCACTTCTCCCAGAACACAACAGAGAGAAAAACTTGTAAGTGGAAAAGCAAGACGTCAACTAACTTATTAATAATAAGAACAATTGACAGCATATAGGTCAGACAGAGGACTTTTTGTTTATTTATACATTTTCTATTATCCAATTTCAATATAGTTATGCATATTATTTATAGCTAGTGAGACGTAATCTTTCTAAATCTCTCTACAAAATTCACTTGTCTCTTTACAGTCTCAAAAGAAAAATATAAAAATCGATATATTTGTGGATCAGCCACTGACCATCACAAGGCTGAGCACCTTTCCCGTCRTGACAGATAATAACCAGCTTTCAGTTCAAGATACAAAACAAACAAACATGGATATTCATGGTATCGCAGCTTCTTGAGTGAAATGGATAAAAATAAAATCCATATTTTCATCATAGAAAAAATACTTTGATAAACTACAGTATATTTTTTAAATGGAATAATTAAGTACCATTCAAATGAGACACTGTATTTGAAAATAAAAGCTATCTTTTTAATATAAATCACCTTTGAGACTCTCCTGAAATTACTCTAGGAAGATTCTACCTTCCTATAATTTGCAATAAACCTTGTGATTTCCACATATGCAGGTGAATTAATGAACCAGGAAGAAAATGTCACCTTGTTTTCCTTCCCACTGCTCCCCTTCACAAATACATAACAGAATCGAGAAATAAGAGTCAAAGAAAAAGCCCTTTTACTATGTTTAAGGTACAGGAGAAGGTGTAGGAAAAAACAGTTACACTTAAAAAAAAAAAAAAAATAGAGAGGCAATTCTGTACCTAGGAAAGTCCATGAATTGCTGGACACACTTTACCACTGCAGGGCTAGGGAGAGCAGATATACCCACCAAGCAACAGAACTAGGCATATTCTGTTTAATTAGCACACATGTACTTGACCCTCCTAACACGGCTCACATCAGAACGTCTAGCAGATGTCCAAGGAGAAGACAAGACAGCAGGACACCCTGATCCACATGCGTGCTCTGSATACTCTGTGCTGCCGCAGTGGATGTCAGCAGTGCTGAGCTGGAGGAGCAGCTTTCTTCAGCTTCAGGACTCCAGGAAAACCCTTCCCATCCCACGCCCAGGACTCTAAGGGCCCAATCCACCACACTGCGGTTGGATGCACTGCAACATGGATGTATTCCAGCTGGCAAAAGCCAAGCGAGCTCAATCCTAGTCCTGTAGTGATGGCACCAGAAACCTTAGGGCAGATGAACGGTGTTGATCCTCAAGCAGGAACTGCAGCGGGTGGTGAATTACAC